TGGGGCCCTAAGTTTGCCAGTCGACCAGCTCTTGAGCCCCCCATGAAAGAGTCTAACAGGGCATCTGCCAGGGCGCTTGTTAGCCTCATGGGGAATACACCAATGGGTGTGACTATTTGTCATGATTTCCACTATTATTAATTACAGATCAGGCCCCACCTATGTTTCTGATGTCATCAATTCCTGTGTTAAAAAGAAGCTGCAGCTGATCTCAGGTGCCTAATCAATTTGCCAATTTGATACTTGCTTGTGAACTGCTGAGAGATCTCCTTCTTATGGTTACCTGTTTTCCCAGACTAGGAACAGACTTCACCATAGAATTCCTCCATTCCTTCATTTACTACAGTGAACCATAATCCACACTATTCTGGAAGGGACTTCCTTGCTCATCATCCAAAGAAAGCAAGCTACGTTCTCCAGTTACAGGGATTCATAATTGGTTCATTCAAAGTTATTAGGAACGACAAAAAGGGAATACACGTCTCTGCTCTCTGGGATTCAGTTACTCCTAAATTGCTTTATTGGAAGTAACCATTACTACTGACTAACTCATTCCTAATGTATTTCACATATTATTTGGATTGATTATTTTCCAATCAGGATCTATTTAATTTCATCATTTCCTATGCAACTTAAGAGACTGTGTCATTTGCCTAAAAAAGGAATGACCTGTTTCTTCTATTCCTTTTTTTTTTTTTTTTTTTTTTCAAATGGACTGTTACAATTTCCTAATTAAGGAGTTAACCTGTTAATTTATCACTGCTAAATGCTATTTTCTTTGAAGCAATTCTAAGCAAGATTACTATTGTTGTATGAGATATTATTTCCAGTTTTTATTGCAATAGAAGATTGCTAAAGTTAAAGTACCTTATTTCAATAAATTATATTTTCTTAAAGTGACAGTATCAAATGTATTCATTCACCTGCGGTTCAGTTCCAAATTAAGTTTTCCTAAAGTATCACACTATTTACTTCTCTGGCACCCCCTGTCAAATACTGGTGCAAAGTGACAGATATATAGCAGGTGTGCAAAAAAATGCTGCATTTTGTTCCAAATTTTGCCTTTCTTTTACCTGCACAAAAGCCATCCATAGCGCATACCAGCAACAATAGCGGACATAATACAGAGCGGGCTCTGGTGCAAGGGATTTTTAGTGCCTCAGTATCACAGAGGTGTCCAAAGGGCAGATCATCAACTATCTTACAACTCCCTTAATACTTTACCACCTGGAGACCGACCTATGACAAACTCCCCTTTTTACATGAGTTTGCCACAAGCACTATGGACCCTGTGAAATATAATGTTAAAGTCTCAGTTCTTGCAATTGGGATTATATGGTTCAGTTACCAAACAACCGCATGAACCAGAGACCACCCTGTAGCTTGTTAACACCTATTAAAAACTTGGAACATTTCTCACCACAGTGTTCTAATTGTTCGTCTGGCTGGCCGCAATTCCTATGGACAACCACAAGGTGGTGGCCATCTTGTTCATATGAACACAGGCAGTGGTGTTTGGGCATGAATCTCATGGAACTAAAATCAGACACAGAAACTCCCGAACACTTGGTGGACTTCCATCAACGCCTGCGTTCGTTTCTATACAACTTAGAAGGGCACTGTTCGGTGAAATCATTCGTCTGGATGAGGGGAACAAGCTCCAGGGTAAAACTATTGACTCTGTTCGGTAGTTTGTTCGTTTTCAAACTACCGAACTAGACCGACCGCAAGCCCTGATTCTCTGGAACTATTTTGGGCATGGGACGATGCCTGTGGTGGGTCAAATAAATGACTTCCAGGAAATTCCTGAACCTCTAAACTGATCTGGGTGATTTTTGGATATGTTGATCACCCAGATCAGGGCTATCAGGGGATGTAATTGTGGGGTTTTATGTATTTTTAGGGTACTTTTGGAAAGTTTTGAAAAAGTATGTTTTTTTTTTTCTGTGCTTGGAGATAATTGAATTAGAATTAGTACAGTAACTGATCCAATTATCTCCCAGGCAGAAGGGAGGGATTTTATGCTTGTATATGGAAGTGTCATGTATATAGATTATATATTATTTCGTTAGAATTGCTTTAAAGAAAATGGCATTTAGCAGTGATAAATTAACAGGCTAACTCCTTAATTTAGAAATTGTAACAGTATTGTATTAATATCAAAATACAGTTAGAACGAAATTACACATATATTTTTTATTTTTTACAGATTTATTATATATATATTTTAAAATACACTTAGAAATTATATGTATGTGTAAGTGTGTGTGTGTGTGTAATATACATATATATATATATATTATTGAATTAAAAACAGTTTTTAACTTTATTTTAATTTTATTACAGGCAGCAGAGGGACTACCTGTCATTCCAGGCACTCCCCTGCTGGCACTGCTGTGGACAGTTATTCCATCCATGTAATCGTGAGGTCCTCGCAAGGATCGCGCGATCACAGGGCCCAGGAGGGCTGGATCGGCAGCAGGACACTGCCTGGGATGACACAAAGGTAAGGATAGTATTAGAGAAGAAGATTGGTAGAATAGATTGTGTGTTGTGTTGCCAGGGCTGGACTGGAAGAAAAATTGGCCCTTGCATTTGAACACAGAGCATGCTTGTGGGAGGGAAACAGGACAAAGAGGAGGCGTGTCATGCCATTAACAATGATGCTTTAAAGAATATAGAGTCCTCCCTCTACCTTGCTGGTCCACTGACCACTAGGGTTGCCACTTTTCTTGGAGAAAACATCCTAATTTGCATAATTAATTATGTATGTGTGATGTCACTGGATGCTATGTAACATCACAGGGAGTGACATAAGAGAAAACAAAATTGTTAGGAAGAGGAAAGTTCCCTAAGTCTCTAAAATACTAATTACAATGTGTACTATGTCTGACTGTTTGTGTAGCATTGAGTATGTGTAGCAGTGAGTGTAAGCGTGCATACTGTTAGTGTAGGTGTAGTATTGTGTGTGTGTGTGTGTGTGTGTGTGTGTATGTATGTATACTATATTATATACATATACTGATTGTGTATGCTGATTGTGTAGGCTGCTGGAGAATGCCTTTCTAATGTAAGCCTTTTTTTTTTTTTTACTTTACGGTTGATTCAACCTTTTTTTATTTTGAGTTCCGATGGTGGAATGCAATTTGTCAATTCCAGTTCCTGCTCTTCCAGGTTCCGGCACTTCAGCCTATAGCGGCACTCGCTTCGGTCGTGGAACGCACGCCAGAGCAAGGCCTGTTACAGGAGGAGGAGAATCCTTCTGGATTTCTGGATTTAAAGAAGCAGGTATCATTTTACTTACCTGTTTTGGGGTACCTTTTTCCTGAATGGGTCCTTCTAGTGTTTTGTTTTACTGTTATTACTGTTACTTACTGTATTGTCCTGTGTTATCTGGTTGCAGTGAAAGTAAGGATAGACAATACATCTGTGGTTGCCTACATCAACCTTCAGGTAGGTACAAAGAGCAAGCTTTTAATGAAGGTTTTGACATTGATGTCCTGGGCAGAAAATAATTTAAAGGGAATAAAAGCAGTGTACCTCCTGGGCAAGAACAATCAAGTAGCAGACTACTTAAGCAGAGTAACTTTGGATCCAACAGAATGGACACTGATGGCGACAACCAGAAATCGCAAAGTGGAAAGGTTCTTCATGTGTTACTTCAACCCTTTGGCGGAGGACTAGAATGCTCTTTGTTGCGAGTGGAAAGTTAAATCTGAGATATGTGGGGCGGAGCTTGACCGCCGACGAAGATGGCTGCAAACTAGAGAGGCTCCGAGGCGGCAGGCACAAAAAAAAAAGCTAATATCAGCGGCAAATTAGCCCACAACCAAGCCACAGACCACTCACCATAACCCCGACCTTTGCTAGAATTGATCAGAATGGGAGGGGGAGAAAATCCAAGTCTGGCACAGCCGTAGCCCCGATCTTTAAGACCAGACCGGACAAAGAAACGCCAAGCGCGACCAGGCAGCAGGCCTCAGACTCCGAATCGGATACCAGCACGACCAGCCAAAGGGCTGAATCCTCACTAAAAAAGATTTAAAAGAACTCCTAATGGACATGAAATCACTGGTAGCGTCCGAGTTCACCAAACACCTAGCTCCGCTCAAAGAAGGCCTGACAGACCTCACCAAACGCACGTGCGAGCTAGAAGACAAAATGGACGGAGTAACAACCACTACCTCCACTCACGATATTGCCCTCAAAGAAATAAAAGAACAACTAGCCTATCTAGAAGACGCACACGAAGACCTAAACAACAGGTCCAGACGCAATAACAGCCGCATCAGGGGGCTCCCGGAATCGTCCACACCGGAGGCACTTACCACCATACTCCATGAAGCCTTCAGCAGCCTGCTTCCTGACGCCCCGCCATCCGACCTCCTCCTGGATAGGGCACACAGAGCCCTCCGCCCTCCATCAGCAAATCCCACGCAGCCTCGAGACATCATAATACGTTGCCACTACTTCCATGTAAAGGAGGCGATCATGCGGGCAACAAGGGAGGCCCCGCTGCAAATTGAAGACCACTTGGTCCAATTGTACCATGACCTGGCACCAACCACCCTACGCAAGCGGCGCGAACTGAGGCCTCTGACCCAAGCCTTACAAGCCAGAAGAACACGCTACTCCTGGGGCCATCCATTTAAACTACTGGTGAGACATGAAAATCGCACCTACATGCTCCACAGACCATCAGAAGCCCAAGACCTTGCCGAGCAACTAGGCCTCCGGGACCTCAGCCGGTACCTGTCTGCGGCTGAGCAGCATCCTGTACCTCCAAGGCGCTCCTGGGACCAATGGCCTCAGAGGGACCGCAAACGCCACGGAGGGCAGCGCTCAACCCAGTCCCTGCATGCCTAAGCGGACAACCCACACGGCCACCACTCTCCTACCTCCCTCAGGCCGCACATGCAATGGCTGCCTGGCTTTGACGGATCCTCGGTCTTGGCCACTGGAGACACCTACGACCCGCAGCACCTAAAGGCACGGCAAACATGCTACCCAGACTCCTCGAAAGGAAAAACCTCCCGTCGAACCTCAGACCCTCCAACAGGTCACGTAAGACTTACTCATTTTGCACCCACTTCCCCACTGGACCCCGAGTCACAGCGACTAGACCAAGCCACGAAACACACAAAATGCCTTACAGACCCCCCAACATGGCCATGCATGACTTTCCTGGCCCACCGCGAAGACAAGAACACCAAGGGCATCCCCAAAGCCCAATATACCTGCACCTCCAAAGACCCGGGAAACGGGTACTGGCACAAATCCCCAAGGCACTGTCTAAACACCCCCGTGGTGAGATAAGCACTATGGAAGACCCTAGTAAACCAGGGGCAACAGCCTTTACTCCGAACTTATGGAACGGTCTGGAAGGACCCTACACCAAACACGGGACTGCAATAAGAAACGAAAAGCAAAGGGAAAGATAATGAACATCATAACTGTCTAGATATTGAAACCTTGATAATGGGAGATGGGGCGGGCGATCTGGGGTCCTCGCGGCCCCCCCCAGCCCCCTTCACAAGGCTGGGGGGCGGGCGGGCCGCGACAGGCCCAGACACGGGCTGATGTGTTGAATTGCACTGTATAGTCTTACACCCCATTCTGAGGTGACATGGCGGGTGACATGATGCACAGCACCCTTGGGGCCCCACATAAAACTGACCCAGCACATTGCCACTCCCATAGCCACCCCCAAAGGGTAACTGCATATCACCCGACCTCCTGCCGGGCAGACCCGCCCCCAATTAACGCCAAACTACTTTATCCTTAACCCGCGGAACATTGCCCCCCATAGAATAAGCACGTAAGGTGGGAGCTTAACACAAACTCTCCCCAAACGGGAGGCCAGGGGAGGGGAAGAGGGACACAGGGGCCGACTGGGAATGTAATGTTGAACGGCATGTCAAAATATGTATATATGTATATAGTTGTGTCGGGACCACCTGGGCTACCCCTCCCGGACTCAAACTGCAGCTGCCCCTTCCCCCACTTCTAGATTGGGTTGGGGGGAGGGGGGCCCAGGGGTCAGCACCCTCCAGACGTTAACTCGCAAGTTTTCACCTAACCCAGGTCTATAAATAAGTAGCCCCACCAAAATGCACCACCTGCCTGCCGTCCTCTCTCAGGTAACTGGCCACTTCTCCCCACATACTCTGATTCTTGCCACCCCCTCTGGCCGCACAAGCTAGAGAGGTCGCTGGCAACACAGACCACCCCTGTTGGCACCCCAACCATTACCCTCCTTTGCTGCCCTCCGGGGCCCCTCCGAGACCCCGAACCCTACCCCGGAACCCCCACCACTTCACAGTCACAAACCGTGACACACAGACAACCTACATCAGACGATGCCTCTCAAACTACATTGTATCTCCATTAACGCAAAAGGCCTCAACAATCCCAAAAAACGACACTCCCTGCTACGCTGGGCCCACTCTCAACAGGCGGACATCCTCCTGATCCAAGAAACTCACTTTACCCCCCATAAAAACTTCCCTCTCAGGAGCAAACATTACAATCGCTCCTTCCTAGCCAACTCACCGGATGCAAAAACCAAGGGGATAGCCATCGTACTAAAATCCTTGTGCCCCCCTCCTCGTGACATACAAGCCTTCCCTGATAAACAAGGCAGATACTTGACGATCACAGGTAAAATCGGTCCCACAACCTACACCATCTCCTCCCTATATGCCCCTACAACCCCAGACCCATCGTTCTGGCCTTCGTACTCAGCGCACTTAGCAATGCATAGCGCAACATTTACCATTATAAACGGAGAATGCAATGCAACCCACCCACCAATTCTAGACTGCACCACCAAACCCCTAGGTGGAACACGACTTTCGCTCAACGACACACTTTTCTCTCAGTTCCTGAATACACACAACCTCCTGGACATATGGAGAGCCCAACACCCTTCTGTTCTCGACTACACATTTTATTCCCACCCTCACAACACCTACTCAGGCATAGACTATTTTCTGGTCTCCCCGGGCCTTACACCACGAATCACGTAAACCTCCATAGGCAATATCACCTGGTCGGACCACGCCGACATCTCACTAACTTTTTCAATTCCCAACATGACCAGACCATGGACATGGAAATTAAACGACAAACTAGTAACCACAACCCTAGCTAAAGAAATCAGAGTACTTTACCCCAAATGACCAATCAGTTTCATCCCCAATCACACTATGGGCAGCCCATAAATCCGTGATAAGAGGTAAGCTAATAGCCATAGCAACAGCGCGCAAAAAACAACACAATAGACAACTAATGGAAACCCTAACAGAAATAGGCCATCTAGAAACCCTACACAAACAGGACCCGACCCCTGCACACCTTGAACAGCTCACAACGGCCAGATCACGACTCAAGAGTCTCTCTCTGTCAGCCACGACCAAAGCACTCACATGGACTAAACAAAAATATTACGAGAAAGGCAACAAAGCAGACTCCATGCTGGCCAAAAGACTCAAAATCCTGACAGAAACAAAACGAATTACCAAAATTCGCACCCCTGACGGAACAATTAGCGACACCCCACACAAGATAGGCGAAACCTTCCAGAAATACTTATAGCAACCCTATACAATCACACCCCTGATCCCCCCGCAAATCTGATCCACTCCCAAACAGAAACCTTCCTCCAGAAACTCTCCCTACCCCCCCTCACCAATGAAGCCAGAGCATTAATATCGGCAAATATTACACCAGAAGTTACTGGCAGCAATAAAAACCCTAAAACCCAACAAAAGCCCAGGCCTAGATTGTCACGTCCTGCTCTGTTCTGTGAAGATGTCTGGCAATGGCTTCTGGTATCCAGTACTCTTGTTACAATTCTTGTTTAGTTTTTCTTGGTTTTTGGTTTTCTATTCTATGTCTGGTTTTCTTTATGCTGGGATTTCTGGGTTCATTCCTATAGTTCGTCCCTGGATTTCCCAGTCTCCAGGTTTCCTTTAAATGTTTGTTTTATGTGCCACACCCGTTTGTTTCCACTTACCCTTTTGTTTCAGCTTGGACCTGCAGCAGTATTTCATCTCTCTGCCCTTTCTTGCAGGTAAGTGCTATTGTGGTATAGTGTGGTTGTTTTAGTTTGCATTAGGCAGTGTAGGACCTGCCAGATATGGGGTACATTGGCGTTGTTGGCAGGCTTATGCAATGTATGATCATATAATGTAACTAAATCCCCATGCTTTTCATAATTAGTGCTTAGCTATGTTTCCTCTTGTTTTACCTTGTATCTCTTGTCTTGGTTTGTATACCCAGCCCATGTACAGTCCTGTCCAGTCATGCCCATGTTATGTTCATATTTACCTCATGTCTTGTGTATATGTTCTGGGTTTAGCTTCCTATCCTTCTCTGGTTCTGGGTTCTATTAGTTCTGTCTTGTTTTCATGTTTGGTGCCAAATTTAGTCTTGCCTTGTTTCTAGTACTGGATACAATCCTGCTGCAGAGCCTCCCTATTAAGCTCCTGGGAGGTCTGCTTAATTTCCTTCCTAGTTCCTGTTATCTGCATAGGCTGAATCAGGGTCTTGGTATGTGGCTGCACAAACGCTGGTGCTCAACACCAGGGGGCGTGCGGTTACCCTGCACCAGACCCTGCTAATCCACCTCCACGCTGAAGACTCCCATTTATCATCAGGCATATTGGGTCCCGGTCCACGCGCCGCCGCCTGGACACTGTGTCTGGGTTCCGGGCACCGGACCGCCACCCGTGACATATGGCCGTAGGCACAATGGAGTTCGTGGAGTGGACTTTGCAGCTTTCCTGATCTGTTCTGTCTGTATCCTGTTCAGTCTGGATTATGCAGCATTCAAGGGTACCTGTATCTGCAGGTTTCATCTTGTCCTGCTTTTCTGGACTATGCAGCTTTCAAGGGTACCTGTATCTGCAGGTTTCATCTTGTTCTGCTTTTGTTCCTGTTTTCCCTGCATGCAAGGGATCCTGTGTTTGGACCAGTCTGCTAGAGATGGCTTCCTTATTTTTGTTGTGGAGGAGGTCGATCTGCTGAGCGGTACGGTGGTCGCCTCGGGTGTTCCCTTGTGATGCTTGTTTCCTGCTCCTTCTCTGGCGGGTATCTCCATTCGTTGCCGGTGGTTCCCATGCAGGAGGCCTTTCCGGTGGGGGATCGGTGCCTCCGTGGAAGTCAAGAGGACTTCGTTGCAGGATCCGCTCACCATTCCTGGTCTCTGCCTGGGGGCTGTTTGGAGCGTCCGGAGTTCGCTCCTTAAGAGGGGAGTTATGTCACGTCCTGCTCTGTTCTGTGAAGATGTCTGGCAATGGCTTCTGGTATCCAGTACTCTTGTTACAATTCTTGTTTAGTTTTTCTTGGTTTTTGGTTTTCTATTCTATGTCTGGTTTTCTTTATGCTGGGATTTCTGGGTTCATTTCTGTAATCCATGCCTGGGATTCCCAGTCTCCAGGTTTCCTTTAAATGTTTGTTTTATGTGCCACACCCGTTTGTTTCCACTTACCCTTTTGTTTCAGCTTGGACCTGCAGCAGTATTTCATCTCTCTGCCCTTTCTTGCAGGTAAGTGCTATTGTGGTATAGTGTGGTTGTTTTAGTTTGCATTAGGCAGTGTAGGACCTGCCAGATATGGGGTACATTGGCGTTGTTGGCAGGCTTATGCAATGTATGATCATATAATGTAACTAAATCCCCATGCTTTTCATAATTAGTGCTTAGCTATGTTTCCTCTTGTTTTACCTTGTATCTCTTGTCTTGGTTTGTATACCCAGCCCATGTACAGTCCTGTCCAGTCATGCCCATGTTATGTTCATGTTTACCTCATGTCTTGTGTATATGTTCTGGGTTTAGCTTCCTATCCTTCTCTGGTTCTGGGTTCTATTAGTTCTGTCTTGTTTTCATGTTTGGTGCCAAATTTAGTCTTGCCTTGTTTCTAGTACTGGATACAATCCTGCTGCAGAGCCTCCCTATTAAGCTCCTGGGAGGTCTGCTTAATTTCCAAGTTCCTAGTTCCTGTTATCTGCATAGGCTGAATCAGGGTCTTGGTATGTGGCTGCACAAACGCTGGTGCTCAACACCAGGGGGCGTGCGGTTACCCTGCACCAGACCCTGCTAATCCACCTCCACGCTGAAGACTCCCATTTATCATCAGGCATATTGGGTCCCGGTCCACGCGCCGCCGCCTGGACACTGTGTCTGGGTTCCGGGCACCGGACCGCCACCCGTGACATAGATGGCCTAACAGCCATATACTACAAATCCTTTGGAGACATTCTCACCCCCAGACTATGCAAAGTCTTCAATGCAATGCTCAATGGAGACCCTCTACCCCAGGACATGACGCAAGCCAATATCACCTTATTACCCAAACCCGGTAAATCACATGACGAACCAGGCCACTATCGCCCCATTTCCCTCCTGAACGTGGACTTAAAACTACTGACTAAAGTAATGACGAACAGATTGAACCCCCTCCTAAAACAGCTGATCAACCCAGACCAGGTCGGCTTTATCCCGCAGAGACAAGCACAAGATAACATGAGGAGAACCATAGACCTAATCTTGCTAGCCAACCACAGACACATCCCAACAG